ATTAAGACTGCGTTCGAATAATTGGTAATTCTAATTTAGATACAGATCGTAATTCATCATCACCGATGCAGTTTTCGCTTGGAAATTTAAAGAAATTCTCGCTTTTGACGCGTCTATTTCGTAAAAATCTCATCCTTTGGAATGACCGAATTGTAATTTTCGTTTCTCTCTGCGAATACCGATCCCTTTCTAGATTTAATTTTAATGGTTTAATGGCACTTCCGATACGATTCCGAAAAGACTGGCATTTTTCCATTAATTCTTCTTCGGATCGATTCGTCATTATAGAAAACAAATGAATGTCCAATAAGTAGATTCTATCGTTCGAACTGATCGATCGGCATCCATTCTATCGACTCGATATTTAAAAGTAGTTGATTTATGGTCCTTAGTTGGCACGCGATTCTCTCGTTATGACGATTAGATGGCGTATAGGACGTCTCCGACTTTTCCTTAATCCCTTATTCCATTAAGCCTTTATGACGTCATAAATCCTTCCTCCACACCGGCTCGTACTTTTAGAGCCGGGCGTCGATTGCACCGACCTTTGTTTACCTTAATTACTATCGTTCGATGTGCCTGTATCACCGAATCTGGTTTGTAGGATCCTAGTTACTTTCGTGGATCGGATTTTCCCCCTACGGTGACAAAAGGAAGCAGTTTTTGCTGCCGGGGAATGGTCGTAACCTTGGGCTTTTTTTCTTCCCCCCTCTCGGGTTCATTAATCTCTTCTTTACATTAATAAGTAAATTCGAAGACGGGGCGAAGGAAAAGGCCGATATCTGCTGAGCCATCTTCGGATCGATAATTTACTTATTGCTTTATCGATCTGCTCTATCGATTTTCGCAGGAAACAAAAATTCGAAAGAAATCAAAGTGAATAAAAGAATGCATTAAGGTTATTATCCAGTAAAAACATTTAGAAATCGTTTACTATTTTGTTCGTGTTAAAGTGACATTTTTAAATACTCCAATGAGGCTCTGTTCTGTACAGTTATTGTTACTCGAATGCCGTTATTCGCGCATTCGAACTTATAGAAGTACCAAAACCTGATATTCATATTGTTATTGTTTGCCGTTTATCTTTTGGTATTTAGCAAAGGGGTTTTTCTCTTTATAGACCTCTTTCCTTACGTAGTTCTCCACTCACTTATTACTGAAGGATCAAGTTAGTTTCTCCATCCTCTCGATCTTCTCTTGGGTACCATTCTTGTCGTCAATTTGGATCATCTCTCGTCGTTTGTCCCGTCCAGTTTCGTTTTAATGGTCCTGAGTGTTCTACAACGTCCTTAATTCCTGTTCTTCTTGTTTCCTCTCGATTTTATCGCTCAATTTAATTTTCGGAACTGTTTTTTTTCCTCTATGCTCTCTACTTCTTTTTTTTTTATTAGTCTTTCTTCTAGTTTTTCTAAGATGTAGAACTATTGTATTATTTTTAGAAAGGTCAAAGTTTACTCCATACATCTATACGAAGAAACTGAGAATTCGAAAAAGCTTTTACATCGAGAAAATGCCTGCAGAGTTGTAGAATTAATTAATAGTAATTAGAAAATTCTTCCTTTTCTCTTGTTTTTTACACCACGAAAGTAATGACGACGCAAAAATTGTGACTAAAATGTGCGATTTTAGTCACAATTTTAATGCAATTTTAACAATGCTCGAGAGCAATTTAACAGTTCTGATCTTTTAAACAGATCATCATTCAACGTAGAACATTCCTTGCTAACCTAAATTTTTTGGTTAACATAATATTTTGACAATGTAACGCTATTATCGTAGGGGATTTTATGCTATTCAAAGATAGAGTGCTGACCTCAAAAGCTTGAAAAAGAGTGTAAAACTTTCAATTTTTTTGGTGTAATATTTTGATTTTTACATTATTAAAGTTTTATCTACTCTATCGTTTAATTCAGCGATGACTTCTTTTCGTTGAACAGCTAAAATAACATAATAAAGTCTCAGCATATTGAACATACCTAAGGTTGCGTAGGACATAAATTCGACCCAAATAAAATGGGAAATTTTTTCCCTTTTATATGGCTCTTTCTAATAAAAAAAATCTGCTTTTATGTTAAATTGTCGAATTTATGCCTCTAGTAGCTCTAGGTATGTTCAACGTTTAGCGACTTTATTATAAGGTTTTTACTGTTTAATAAAAAGGAATCGTCATTATATTAAATTATACGATAGATAAACTTTAATAACTCAAAATATTTATAAAAAATCAAAACTGTTTATCTTCTATTCAAATTTTGCATGTTTTGAGGTCAACATCCCTAAATACAGTAAATATAGGGGAGACCGGGGCAAGATCGGCATGTTAAGCTTTACTTAAATTTTGTGTAATAAATACTGCTGTAAACTGAAAAAAAAAACTTTGCATATTGTCTATTGGAATGTTACCTTACTATAGAACTGGTTAAAATCAGTTTGGAAATAAAAATAATTAAAATAATTACAACTTTACAAGAAGAGAGAAATTGACGAAGTTGCCCCGGGTATAGGGGCAAGATCGGCAACTTCTCTCTTTTTGTAAAGTTGTAATTATTTTAATTATTTTTATTAAAGTTGCCCCTGGTATAGGGGCAACAGTAATGAGGCAAGATAGGCACGTATATAAAATTATGTTATTAACAATGTATAAGTTGGAATTCACTATTAAAACAAAGAAATACAAATCCAACACCCATTTAATATTATTACAACGAAATGCAAGTTCAAAGACATATATACATGAATAACAAATGCAAACATGTTTTCATTTATCATCTGTTTGATTTTTATCCTTTGCTTCTAATGTGGCTTTATGTTGCCGATCTTACCCCGCTAGTCATGATTTCGAAACATTAAGTACAACTCTGAGAACAGAATGCCATGCCATGATCTGGCCACGTGAATAAGTTGAAGTTACATCCTTCTAACAGGAAAAGTAACTTTCGTTATCATGGAATTATAACAAAACCTGCTAATTCAATATAAATGGAAAAAAAATATTATATGGAATTCAACGAAAATGAAAATTTGCTTGATAATTCAACTACGCTTGTTGGAGAACAATAAAAACACTACACTCAACGAGCCACCAATAAAACTCAACTGCCTAACCTATAACCAAAGTCTCCTTTTAATTTGTTTTTAAAAAAAAGCGCTTGACAAACTTGCCCCGCATGCCGAAGTTGCCCCGGTCTCCCCTATGTATACCTCTTTCCCTAGCATACAATTATTAAGCCCATTTCTAATTATTAAAGCTTAAAAATATTATTATATATGCCAAATAATTCTTGCAAAATATAAATTTAGACTTTATTAATAAAAAAATTAAATTTCCATTTGAATATATTTATAAAATGGCTTAAGAAATGTTATATACAGTCGACCCCCCTATAACACTGTTGATAATTCCGTTTTATATGAATTCCATGTTGTACGAATCATTTAAATTTTACAAATACGTGAGCCGTTCACAGCCCGGCACACATATTTGTAAAATCTAAGTGACTCGTACAACATGGAATTCATATAAAACGGAATTATCAACAGTATTATAGGGTGGTCGACTGTAATAAGAAATACAGCAATTAATTGAAGATCATTCCTCGTTGAACCCACCAGATTTGGAAAGAACCACTGATTTAAGGGATTCAAAAACAAATTCCAACAAGAATTTTTATTAATTTTATAAATTTAAAATAAAATCATTAGCTGCTATCAGAATTTTATAAAAAAAAACATGTATTTTCTCTATTATCGATATGATTTTTTGCCACATTGCCTTTTGCAACGTAGGCTCACGATAATGGGAAATATAAATGCATAAATGTAATATATAATACGTAACAAGAACTGTAAATAAGTAAACACTGTATATGTATAATAAATAAGAGAATTCGTGTATACACGCGCGTATTCAAGTTATGTAAACATTAGGGCATTTAGATGACTTCACATCACTTGCTGTGTGATTTTTAACAAAACAATCTTTTGTTACTGTCTTTGGTTGTCACGTGGTGATGGCTTATCGCCACACGATCACGCTCTTGTTAATCTCTATTATCACTTGTCACGCGAGCGTCACGCAAATCCACGATTACAAATTAGTGTGGTCACACCAACATTTTTAACATGGTATGCTACACACGTGGGCGCACTTACCGATTTTTAATCAATTTTTAATCCGAATTAATGAAACATTTTGTAACAAAGTTGCTCTTGGGGAGGTCAAAATCATATATTTTTTTACTTTATCTGTTACGAGGTATTGCATATTTTATTATAAAACCTGCTACGTTTGTTTGAAGAGAGAGAGAGAGAGAGAGGGAAATCATTTTGTTTAAAAAAAAATTATATATAAATATTTATTCGGCCGAATTTCCAATTTCGAGGTCAGACGCAGCACCGGAAGCAGTCAATGTCACGTGAGTTGCCATGGTAACAGGGACACAAGGCCACCGGGTTGTGGCTGCGGTTAAACCTTTCACTCGGACGATTCGCCTGCGGAAAACTCGATAAACTCGTTCTTTTATGACACTTTTAATCATTGGGTTTGGGTCTGTCTCGGGGTTTAAATCGAAAAGAAAGAAAATTCGAAGTAAAAGTTTCTTTGGTTTATTCTTATTCGCCATTTTTTCCATTATCGTGTCTTGGTTACCTAGGCAACGGTGGGTAAGCACCATACTAAGGCCCTAGGTAAAGGAAGAGAGGAAATGAGACGCCGATACCATCTGAATAGACTCGGTCACAGTCTGTCACCCGCCTCGGGATGTTGATGTCATAAATCCACGCGCCATTATACCACCCCTTGGCTATTATGCGACAGATTTATCGTTATACATCGTCTTTATAAATAGCATTAGCCCTATGTGTAACGACACCTCCTCACTTACCCTCGGGTCAACCGAAACTCTTTTCTTAATTATTTTCCGCAATTCTTGATTAAAACACTTTGCCAATTTCCCTTCAAAATGGCATTAACAATAAAAAAGGAAACTTTGTTTTTCTAGGATGGATCCAGAGGCCATTTGGAATCTCTAGCCGGGTTGTACGCGGAAGAACTTAGAACACATTACAGAGATGTCTTGGACCGATTGGAGGAATTAAGGAAGAGAAGAGTAGCCATTGATTTCCCACCCCTACCGCTGGACAGTGACAATCTAGGTCTGAAAGCGCCTCATAATTTTAAGCCAGGAAAATATTCGGTGAGTTGTTTATATAAATCCCCAACAATTTCTAAACACGTGTTTGTAGTGAGATGACGTTGACGTTGACGTTGTGTGGTTCCTCAGCCGTCCAGTTGTCTAAGTGACCACGAAGAGGACAACATTTACAGCTTGTACCAGTGCCCCTACGCAGCGACCTGTAGTCGTACCCAAAGGTGAGTTATAATGGCGTTTTGACGCATTGGTACTCTTTACGCAAGAGCTTTATTTAATCATTTAGGGGAGGAGAAACGAATCGTAAGTTAACTATTCCCGCGGGTTATCTGATGGAGACACGTTTCTGTCCTTCGCGATCCTCTCGACGTCGGAATATCTGAAACTAAACCGTGATAGATGGAATCGAAGACGACGTTATTTGATTCTCAGGAGGAGCAATGAGTCGAGTTAATAAAGCGTGCCCGAGGATGGTAGAGCGAGATAAGGTATCTCGTTAACATTGCAAGATACTAAGGTGTAGCTCTGGCATCTGTATGTCGTGGCAATTTGCACCGCAAGTCCCAAGTGCGACAACCTCAATAAGAATGCAAATAACTCCGAGGAGTACGGTCCAGTAAAGCCGAAATCCCGTTGTCCTGACAACCGTATTCTGTTGCCTGGCAACGCATCACTTGACCCGGACCGGTGAAGATGGAGGATGAAAGATCGTAAGGTTCAATTAAAGTCCCTGCACCTTTGTTGATTTAGTCGTTTTCCTTTTACAGAAAAGGGGGCGAAACACAGCCGATTGTAGCTAATCAAGTGCGACTTGGAGAGGAGGAAACGTCCATAATCTGATAGACTACAACGATTTTGGCAAAAGCTTAACCAGATAAAATGATTTAACGAATTTTAGGTTTCTCTATCGCGAAATTAATTAGATTCTCCTGATTTTTAGGATTAAGTTTTGAATGGGAAATTTCTGCTTTAGTAGCAGAAACATCGGAATCTAACTCGACTGCAACAATTAAAATTAGATTAAAGAGATTTGGTAGAATTAAAACAGGGTAAACGAGAAATGCAACGTGCAAGAGAAAAAAGAAAAAAGAAACGAAACCAAATAAAAGTTTTCCAAACGATTAAAAATTGTATGAAATGCCTAATAATGAGATTTGATTACCCCCAGGAATTATTAAATCGGTGGAATGTAATTACTAAATCAGCGTTAAGAAAATTATCAATTAAATCTTAAATATCAATTAATTTTTATCATTTTTAAAAATTATTTTAATTAAATATAAAAATAAAGTTATTAACTTTCCTCGTTAAATATCCTTTTTTTTAAAAATGCGATTTACTAATAGAAAAATTCGTCCAACTAGTCACACAAATTCTTTAGAGTGTAAATAGTTGAATCCAGTTTTAAAAAATTCACATTTCATAATAAAAAAAACCTTAAATTTAACTGTCCGAATCTTCTCATTAACATAAATTAAGTTTTAATGAATCACTTTTAAGAGGCATTTTCCGTAGAGATGAAGTGAGAGAAAGAGAAAAATCGTACTTTTTACCAAACACATTATGATTTATAACAGGCTTTTCCCCCTTTTTGTGGTAGGATCATCACGTGATAAGAGGTGTGGTTCTTTTTTTCCTCCCCTCTTGCATTACCTGGCAACATGTCATTTCGTTCCACAAAGAACAGGCAGATGTCCGACGACTAGCATCTCAATCTAATGAATTCGTTCTTCTCTTACGATTGAACAGGAATAAAATAACTCAAATGCATCGGGATAAATTACACCTGTTGTATGAATTATTAATGGATGTTTAAGTTGAATCCTCTCCTATTGAAAGAGCCGTTATTAACTAAGTTTCTTCTATTCGAAATTTCAGCAGGAAAAAAAAAAAAAAACAGAAAAATCGTGTCAGTAGTGATGATTTAATTCATCTAGATCATGTAAAAGTAGTGTTTCTTTGCCATTTTCGATGCTTTTAACAACAGAATTGTTGCTGTAAGAATAGTAAGAATAGGTTCTTCTCTAAATAAATAAACTAGGAAATTCGCTCCACATACCACTTTAAAGGTTTGTCTTCTTTTGTGCTGTAATGCTCTTTAATTACTCGAAAAGAAAACAAACAGCAAGATCCATCAAAATGATATACTGTTTTACAAGTTCGATGACTTTAAACACATTTAAATTTTGCATAATTTATGTATTTTTTTGCTTAAAATTTTTACATATTCAATCCACCTTATATATATACAGTACGTGGTAAAATCTTACGCAATACAAACGGATGATTAAGTGAATGTTTTTGCAAAAATTCGAACAGACGCGCGGTTAACGCCCACGAAAATAAATAAAATTATGAAATTAAATTACATTTTTTTGAAAAAAATGTAGTAAATTTACAGCGTATGTAAGAAATTATAAAGCTTATAATTTAACTAATTTCTGTAAGTAACGAGTAACGAAGAAATTCCTTAGTCGACTATAATCATCTTCATGGCAATTACGTGGAATTTATCCAACAAAGTAATCCCAAAATTGTCTCCACACAACAGAAGAGCAATTGCTTTTGTTCGCGAGATTTTGTTGGTTGTTTATGTCTATTTATAGATACGTGACACTTTAGGGATTCGTTTCTAACTCCCGTCTGTACGAAGAACACTATTTTCGTCCATATAGTCTCCTCGGTGGGGGTACTCATATAATATTTAAGAGCAAGTGACATAAATGTCAACTCACCAGAGATTGATTATTATTTTTAATGAACTGATACGACTCCCGTCAAACTTTTTTCATAACCTTAGGCAAGAGCCGGATTTATCGAATTTATCGCACCGCTGCTTTAGCTGTAATTTTCTTAGCAAAAATGGTTACAGAATCAAACATATTTTCTAGATTTAATGTTTTCATCATCATTTTTTTTTTCCTGTGTTTTTTAAAAAGAATTCGGCTACGATTCGGAAATTACATTAGGTAAATAGCACCTTCTTACATCGGCAGCATTGATTTATCGTGTGCCATTTCCCGACTAAGTTTTGCGTGAAATTCGTTCATTAATTACGATTTCGAACTTTAAGAGCCGCTACCTAACACAACAGTGCGGATTTAAGAGAAGTCAGATCCTTTAGGAACAGCTTTGAGCCCTTCTATTTAACAGCGTCGTGATTTATAAGAGCTTTGCCATTCAGTGGCAAATCAAATCCTTCCTTAATCTCCGACAATGTCACTTCTTAAAGTAAAATTCTTTTTTTCCCTGTTACGTTGCGTTTCTCTCTCCATTCTTAAAGTTTTAGAAGATGGAAAGGCCTGTTACGTGTAATTCTTTGGGATTCGGGAGTTTTTAATGCCTCGAGAACGTGAAAAAATAGAGGAAAAAACTCCAATTTATAAATTGTCGGTTTTCTGTACCAGCGCAGACTTTACTATGAAAGGTACAAAAGTTAATTTTTAATCAAGAGCTACATATAAACACGATATTATGAAAAACTTGCTGATAAATTAGTCTGAAAGAAAAATGAAATGTAATAAAAACAAAACAGCAGTAAAAGTTAAAAAATTCTTATAAGAGCTTCATAAATTCTTCTACCAATGAATTTTTCATTTGAAGAGTGACCCAACAGCAGCCGTTTTTTAGAAAATGAAGTGAAAAAAGTTAAGGCAAACATTTAAGACGTAACTGTAAATAAATGATGTCCAGAGGAGTTGTTGCATGAAGTGTAATATGCAGTAATCAAGTGTAACACGAGGCAAAATTGAACCGAAGTTATTTAGAATCTGATCTAAATCGTGCAGAAACCGATTATATGCAGAGAGATGCTATTTCGAGCGTTTGCTCTGAGAATATCAATAAATTGTCATTTACAGCAATTGTTCTAATTTCTTTTTTCTTTTGTCGGAAATGGATCACTAGACGTCAAATTCTGCTTTACATACAGCATTTTACTTTTTAAAAATTACTAGACACGAGTTTATTTTTTTTCTAATTCGATTGCTGAATTTTTTTAGTGTAGAGTTTCGTAAAATCTTGTATCTAAATTACATTAATTGCATTACGTTATCCGAATCAAATAGAGGTATTTAGTCCGACCCATAGCACAGAGTGAACCCAGAATATAGTCTTTTATATAAAAAACATGATACGAAAAGTGATGTAAATTAAATTTCTCTTCGATAAGTGGCGAAGAATCTATTTTTATTTTATTGATTTTATTCGTGTAATATATAGGCCTATATTTTTTTTTTTTTACTTTCGAAGAGGAGGCCCTGTATTTATAACTGGCTTAAGCTCTATCTCACTTCTCTTATATCCTTATATTATTTTCAGTTTCGATTATTAATATTTTTGCTCATTTCAGTTGAATGCTAGTCTAAAAGCATAATTAATTTGTTCTCACAACATTGCAATGAACTATTGCATCGGAGTAACTTTATAGCCTATCATACATTTAACAGCAAACATATAAGTTTGTTAATTCGGGACCAGAATGGTGCTAATTTGTTAACACTTCGGGACCAGAATGGTGCCAGATTACCGAACGTTTTTGTTTCCATAATTTATATGCAATAGCGGATCCAGAAATCTTTAGATGGGATGCAGAAAGGTAACAATTTGCCTTACAAAATTTTTTACTACTTGAGATATCTGACTTTACTCGGGATAAACCTCTAGAAGGGGTTTGCACCTCTAAATTCGAACGTTGCAGATATTGCCATATCTTTGCACGTTGATGTATGCTTCCGATTTGTTTACGCATACACTTTAAAATCAGTGCATGACTATACTGCGTTAAGATTAATCGGAAAACCTGAAAAGACCGTTAATGAACATGTTACTGTACAAAATCATCATTTGCAATGCTTTGTGTTCGTATACTGTATCCACTGTGTATACGATAAACAAAACGAATGCTCTCAGCACGAGAAACCTGTTTTTTAAGTTATCGGATACTTTCAGAGGGTGCCAGATTACCAGGCATTCCGGATTAACGAATCTTTGCATGAAACTGATGTCCATTCAGTATTAAACGCTTTATGATTTTTTCATTATAAATCTCATTTACAGCGGAATAGAAAAATAGAGAATGAACGCAGTTGTTTGATATCGTTATGCAATAATGAGAAGCAGTCCCTGGAGAAGGATGCTGTAGATATAGTACAAACTGTGTACTTCGAATGCAATGAGCCCAGAGCGGCACGTTTCGATCCTCTAGAGAATCCTCGAGAAACCAATGGCACGGCTCTTAATATACCAAATATATTAAATTCGTGTTAGGAAACTTTACAACAACACAAATATTAATTTATATCGTAACAATTTAAATCTATTAACTACTGAATGCATCCTTTTCTTTATATAAGAGTTAAATGGAACCATTAGTGAATCTAAAAGCTCTAATCTAGGTTTTTGTTCCGACTTTTTAAAAATGGATGCGGTGTGTGCAGCGAATTGCAGGTGTTCGGGAACACCGTTTACTCGCCTAAATCATTATTATAAATAAATAAGTTTCTAAATAAATAATTATAAGTTATCGTTAACTGTTAGAAAACTTTTAACCGATGTTTGATATGGGCACACCCATTTGTCAGTTGCCTTCATTTTTCGAGAGAAACGAAGATTACCACTCGATTTTTTAAAAAAGAAAGTCTGATTAATCAAAGCATTTATTTCTTAAAAATGAATAGAACAAACTCTTTATATAATTCATTTTCTTTACATTAACCTGTTCTTTCTATAGATTAATATCGGTAATAGCCTTAAAGTATTGGATTCAATGATGCGTTAATGCAATTTTCGTTTCATTTGTTCGTAATTAAACTAATGTAGGTTATTAAATTTATTCAATAAAAGGAAAAGATTAGTTATAGATTTCTTTTTCTTTTTTTTTTTACAAATATTTTAAGAAAATTGATTTTTTTCTTCAGGTGTTTGAGTCCAAGATCCAGGTACTTCTACGAGCCGTGCCCTTTTCCGGCCGAAGGTAAGTTACTCTCTAGAGAATTAAAATATATTTATGATCGTTTTCGTGTAACGTGTGACGACAAAAGAGTGACAACTTTACAATTGTCCCACGTGTTATTGTTTGAAATTGATAGATTGAGTCCGGGTGCGGTTCCGACCTTTCTATGATTAACGAATGTAGAAGTCATGGCAACCGAATTGTTTATTGAGGGATATTAGGAATTTGTGTCAATGGCGTGGTTTCTGCTCGTATATTACCGAATTACGGCTTGTGGAATTAACGAACGAAAGATTGATCGAAATCTAAGTTAGTTTAGATAACTTAGCCTTTTACCTGTTGTCTGATAATTATCCTTAAACCCTTGGGAAATTCACTCAGCTGATATATAGTTTTACATATCCTTAAGGAATTTTATAACGACACGAATCGTTATTTTACTTTCTTCGTGACTGTATTATAATTCAATAAGATACTTTACTTTAATAAGATAATGAAATATAATGTTTTTTTCCTCCTATCTTTAATAAAGGCATATCAGATTTTACTATGATGCTACTTTACAATCCATTTTGTCTTTTTATTTTCTAATTTAAAAGGAAAATAGCTTATTTTTTACTTGTTTTGCTTTTAGAAAAATACAACTTAATAAGGAAAGAAAATAAATAAAAAGCAATTTTTGTTTTATATTAGAAAAAATTATCTTCTCAATCTGCTTATAATGAACCTGTTAAATCTAGTGTAGCTTTAAAGCCTTTGTTCTATTTTATTTAAAATTATTTTTACATTATTTTTTTTTATAAAAAGATGTAGATATATATTAATAAAATTTATAAATTAATTCATTAAATATGCTGAAATTTAAATTAAAGTTTTTAAAGTACAGTACATTGATCCTAATTAACATATTAATCATTTTAGTTGTTGCATTGCATTGATTTTCTTTCTGTATTTTAAAATAGTAACTTATTTTGAATGATTAGTTAAATCAATAATATTTTGATGTCATTTCTAAAAATGAAGAAGTAATTTTAAATATTTATATTAAAAAGAAACAAAAAGTAATAGTATTTCAAAATCCTATTTTCAGAATTAATATTAAAAGATTATTTAAGTGATATAGAAATATAAAAACACTTTATGTAAACTATTGATTTTGAGGTAATAAAAATTGTTTTTCTTCAATTTATCTTTATGTTATTTGAGAATTTTGGATAATTTGGTTCATTACTATGCATTTTGATATAGAAAAAAAATTAAATTATTGGCAAATCTTTTTTCTTATGATGGTTACCAATAGAACTACAAAATGATCATATACAGTATATACATAATATATAAGATGACTAAAAATTCAATATTGTATTATGATATTTAGTGAAAGTTTTAGGTTGTGTTAGGCTGTAGATAGTGTTAAGTTATGAGACTGCCTGCCTTTTGTATAAGTTTATATAATATAAACCTCATGTCACATTATATTTGATATTCTGTTAGGTATACAATTTTAGCTATCACTGAAATCACTGAACTGAGTATTGAAAAGCATGTATTAGTGTGTTTGTGAGGTGCCTAAAAATGTGGATCATAAACAAAAGTCTAGGTTTACCTATGCCTAAACAATTGGTAATGTTTTAGCAGAATACGAATTTTATGTAAAGATTTCTAAAGCTGAGTACCATATACAAAATCTGTGTGTTCAATATAAAAACTGAATTAAATGATGCATTTAATATTACTAACACCATTGTTTTATGATTCATATAGCAATTTTATTGATTTTATCATCATATTGTCAAGATATTTACTAATGTTTAGATAAATGCAGAAAAAACTTCTTGGTCAAAATTTGAAGTATGGTAATTTATTCCCTGGCAAACAGAATGAATTACACAAGTAATTTATCTTCATAAATAATAATATCAATTTTTTATTGTTTTAATGAACTAATTACTGAATAATAATGATAAAATGAAATGTTCTTTAATCATCAGATTATTTATGGGATAATTCATTAAATGCTACTTATGGAAATGCATTAATAAATTTTCATTTTAATAGTTTGATAAAATTAACTTTTATTAAACTGTTAAAAAGTTTTTAAATACTGTAGTTACAAACAAAGTGAATTTAATTTTAAACATAATTTAATTTTGATAGTGTAATTATAGAGAGTATTATTATATAATTTTAATTTGTTGCTGTGTTGTTTATATAATATCAGATTATGTTTAAAAGTTAATATTGGAATAAGCACAGGCATGAATCCATAAGGGACAGGTGGGACATATCCCCTAATTTTTTTCTATCAGCAAACTGTCCCACCTTCTAAGAAATATACATATTTTTATTTTAAACTACATAAATTAGGAGTAGAAACATATAAAGTGTACAAATAGGTAAACCTTACTTTTTATATCCAATCAAAAATCCAACAATAAAAAATTTTTCTTACTCATTGTCATTGGCCACCCTCAATATATATATACAGATTGACACCTAAGGAAATAAGTATAAATAATTGTTATAACATTGGCAAAAAACAAATTATCATAGCTTACTGTAGCATATATTAATCCAAATATTTATTCTTAAATATTAAGTTAACATATAAGATATTTAATATTTATAACAGTAGCTCACCATTTTAACATGAAAAGCTGTCATAAAGTGAGTCTTCTTCTTTGATTCTTTATACACTCAGTGTAATAACTTCAGATTATATTCCTGAAGATAAGAGTTTTAACTATACAATAATACAGAGATGGCCAATAAAAAGAATACAGCACTTAAATATAACATTTCAAAATCCATAATAGAAAATTTGTCTTAAAAGAAGGGGCTATAAAATAGAGTCTATTATATTTAATTTTGATAATATTTAAAGAAGAATATGATATTTTTATTATCAAAATTTTTTTTGATTTATTACTATTGTCTTTGTAATTTTTCAATTCAGAAAATAAATTAACATTGAAACAATTTTATTATAATCTGTTTGAATGTTAGTTTATTTTATATTATTGATGTTAAGCTTTAATAAAACTTTTTGTTAAATTTGTATTTTGTTGTTAAATTTTATTATAAATTATTTGAATACTAGATTAGTTAATGTTTAAGATAAATAAATAAATAATTGTATTTGTTTCATAATGAACTGTATAATTATTGTACATTTTGTTTATTTATTTCATATTATTTATATAAATATTTGAAAATTTTATATTGTACAGAAAAATTATTTATTGTGAACAACATATAGTTTTAATCATCTATTATGCTTAATGCTATATTATTAAACATAGTTTTTAAATCATTATAATTTTAGCTAGAGTGCTATTAAATATATTATATATAAATTATATTGCATAATATAAATATAATAAATACTCAGGTTTATGACCTAATTGGTCTGGAAAACTGCTGTTAAGTGATTCATTGTAAATTACATTTAAATTTCCCATAGATTATGGTATATCATAAATTGATGTTCTATTTCTGAGAATAAACTGTAAATTATATAATATCTCATGGTGAAATCATGAACAAAAAAAATGTGGCATCTAAATATTGTATATTATATAATGAAAAGAAAATTTATTCTGGTAACATTGGGGAGAGGTGAAACCAGTGATCATAAAAATTTATATAATTATATCCTTAGGTATATTTCTTTTATAAAATCTAATATAAATATTCCATAACCAAGTAGATTAATTAAATTTTGCAGCATATTTTTACAGGTATATACTGAAAATTTTTCAGAACTAAATAAATGTCAGTATTTTAATTTTTAAAACAATTACACGTATCTAAATTGTTCATATATAAAGATATTTTAGACTTTAATACTGCAAGTCTAAAAAAAATCAAAACTGGATTCAGAAAATACAAAATATATTTTTACAATTTTAAAATAAATACAGTGTAATTTGATTATGAAATGTTTCATTATCTATTCATTTGATTTCATTTTGTTTCTATTCTGTTTGTCATCATTTATTGTTAAATGTATTAGGCTTGCAATAAATATTTTATTCATGTATTGTATGATACCTGACACTAGGAAATTCCCTAAACATTAATTCCAGAAAAATCTGTTTTATCAGTAATTACAGTTTATAAATAGAAATAATTATAGATTTGTATAAATGAAGTATTCAATGAACCTTAATTTTGTTTTGAAGTAATAATTATAATAAAAAATAATTGAAAAATTTGATTTTTGTTTTTATATGCTTTTTAATACAACAAATTATAATAAAAATGATAGGCTACTATTAATAATTTTAATTAATTTTTTTATTTTTCTCATCTGTTCATATAAACCATTAATGTGAGACAATTCCATTTGGTTAGAAATCGAATTTATATGTAACTATAAATAGTATTGAATATTAAATTATATAGTGTATAATGTAATATGAACCAAATTAAGTTTTGACTGAAAGCTATTAAGTTGAACATAAATATCAGTCTGAAATATTAAGCTATTTGAAAAGTAATTGAAAAGCTTTCTGTCACTGTTGGTTATCATTTTTATATCTATTTTTTTTAAGGTAAACTGAAATGGAATTTTATAATTTATTATTTATTAATATAATGTATTCACATTCATTTCTTTACAAATTAGTGAAAATGAAATGCTATAGGCTTACTATTAGGAGGGAACTTAAACTCCCATTGACACAATAAAATTTATTTGTTCAAACTTCAAAATGTTTTTAAAAGCATTATGATCATAAATACGTATATCAGATCATCTGCAATACAATCATCATGCACTTATTAATATAAAGTCTTTATTAATTATTTAAATATTTTTAATTTTTGAAGAACCCTTTGGATTCTTCTGCATCTATCCCTGCTCACTATAAATTTTATTATTAATTTATCTTCATTTTTGTTATAAAAATATAACAGATGTCATTGCTTTTGGGCTGCAATTTGAAAAAATTGTTCACCTATAAATTTCCACTATTGTTTGACTGTCTGTCTGTCCATCTTTCCTTAATCATGAGGAC